CAGTCCTGGCCTTCTGCGTTTGTCTTTTAATGTACCGCAGCCACTCATTTGTTCACATCCTGTCACGACATATGTATCATTAGTTATAAATCACACACCAGAAAAAAATGCCTCCCATATAAAGTGGTTTTGGCTGATTCAGCACCACACTCTTAATTTTATAATACTTTCTTTACATGCCCAATGGAATCCCTCACCATTACCAGTCATCCCTTGGCTTTTGGTGGACAAGCACCATTCTGTCTCCAAGGATCTGCCTGTCATATAAGCAAAGCTCTGTGGCACCAGTGGTGGCTGGTCCTTCCAGCCCACATACAATCCTGAAGCTCCGGGAGGAGGGGCTCAGTATTCTTTTCCCCCCAATAAGCAGCCTCCTTCTGTGAGTGCTCAAGGCACCAAGTATGATGTTAGACTCACAGAGCCTGGGAGTTCTGTCCCATTGTCACTGCCCACTTTACAGAGGAGGAAACTGAGGCAGGAAAAGCGATGAGGCCAGGAGGAGGGATATGAATGTGATTTCAGTCTGTCACTGGCTGGAATCAATATTTCTTCCAAACTAACTGCTGCAAAGATTGCCTGTATGGAGGGAAAAGAGGTAACCCTTCCTGGTGATACCTCAAACATGATTGTTGAAACAGCTAATGAACCAGCCAAGATTCGCTGTCACCTTATTACACTGCTTTTCGCAAGCCTGTGTGCTTCTATGATGCTCACGGGCATGGTTATGGCTGTATTTGTAAATGTCTTCTTTTTCTTGTGTGTGTGTTTTTGTTTTGTTTTGTTTTGTTTTTTGAGACAGTCTTTTATGTAGCTCAGGCTGACCTTCAGTTTTTCCATATAGCTGTACTTAAGCCATTCAGATATATATATAAATGCTTCTTTTTGTTTCTTTTGTTTTGTTGTTTTTTGAAGCAGGTTTATTCTATTTAACAGACCTGACTGTCCTGGAACTTACTTTGTAGACCAGGCTGGTCTCACAGAGATCCTTCTGCCTCTGCTTTCTGAGGGCTGAGATTAGAGTGTCATCATGCCCTGTAATGCTGCTCTCTCTCTCTCTCTCTCTCTCTCTCTCTCTCTCTCTCTCTTTATAGGATATTTTTATTTTATGTGCTTGGGTGTTTTGCCTACATGTATGTGTGTCACATGTGTGCAGTACCTGTGGAGGCCAAAAGAGGGCGCTGGAATCCTGGAAGCAGAATTACAGGTGGTAAGCTGCCTTGTGGGAACTGAACTCAAGACCTTTGTAAGAGCAGTAAGCCCCCTTACTTGCTGAGGCATCTCTCCAGCATCTCAGTCCTTTTCCTAATAAACTTCAACTTGGCTTCATTCTGGTTGGCCCTGGAATTCTTTGCTGTGTAAACCAAGATCCCAGCTTCACCTGAGGGGACATTCCTGTGAGAAAGTCCTGCTGGCAATGTTGAGTTGCTCTCTGTGACACACCCGAGATCACAACAGGAAGTAGCTGGCAGAGCTGAGCCTGAAACTAGGTCTGTCACCTGTGTCCTGTTCCTGGGCTGTGACACAGCTAGTGTCACATGTAAAAGTGTCTGCAGAGGTTACTGCTGATCGTCATGTGGAATCTGGAATCACCTGGGAGACAGACCTCTGGGCATGCCCGTGGGGGAATGACCTTGACTGTCATAGTCCATGGATGTGGGAGATCTGTCCACCATGGGCAGCACCATTCCTTCGCTGGGAGTGTGTGGACGCAGGTTTGAACAGCAGCATGCATTCGGCCCTCCTCCTCTCTTCTTGGCTATAGCAGATGCAATATGGTTTAGCTGGTTCAAGTTGCTGACCCCAAACTTCCTCCAAAGAGGTGGGCTATAACCTTGAACTGTGAGCTGGGGTAAACCCTTCCCTCTTATGTTGCTCTTATCAGGCAATTTTTATCACAGGGACAGGAGAAAAGCTAAGTCAGGAAGGCTGGAAAGGTATCTCAGTTGGTTCAGTATCTGCCATGTGAGCATGGGGACCTGAACACCGAGACCAGAGTCCCCATAAATGCTGGGTACGGCGGTACACACCTGTATGTAGCCTCTGGATGGAGTGCTGGGGGCCTTCCACCATTCTCTACCCTTCACCAGCCTCGTTCATCTCCCCCGCCACCCCGCAGCCTGGATATGAGATCCTCTCCAGGGGTCTGGCCTATCCCTCGTCATTTCCACACCCCCTCTGTGCTAAGGGCCCCACAGCACCATGATCTCAACTCAGGGGAGTGGCCCAGCTACCTTGGGTTCCTCACACCAGATACTGCTCATCCCTGTTAGTCACAGTTGGTGGAAGAGGGAAGGCCTCCTCGAACCCCATCCCTGTCCCACCCTTGCTTAGCCTTCCCTCCCTTTCATGCAACTCAGAGTCAGCTCTGGCCAGGGAACCTTTGCCCTATGGGAATGGACAACGTCTGGGAGCCCAGTCATGCTGTGTGACCTCAGGTTTGCTCAAGCTCTGAGTATAATCTTCCCCTTCCTCTTCTCCTTTCTTGTTATTTTTCCCTTCAGATTTTTCTAACTTGCCCCCCCCCTTTATTTTCTGTAATGACATTTTGGGTGCCCACAGTCTGTGACAGATCACAGGTCAGATGCAGGAGCCACAGCCCTGAGGGCCTCATTTGCTGAGGGCTGTAGACTGGACTGACACAGGCCCCCGAGGCTCCCCTATGACAGACAGAGCTGACCTGAGGCCTAGAAGAGTCAGCAGCAACCTTTCCTCTAATGCACTTGACTATGTGAAGTTAGGCATGTCGCCTCCCGTCTTTGGGCCTCGGTTACCTCACTTAACAAGCGGCAAAAATCATGCAGTGATGTTTCAGCAGGGTCCATGGCCATAAAAGGAGTATTCAAGTGTCCAAGAGCTCACCTTTGTCACTACCGCAAGACCCAAGGGTCCATTCTGAGGACTGTAGGACTCAGCGCTCTGACTCAGGAGTCCCTTGAAGCAACCCCAGCAAACAGTGTTCAGCATTTGTGACGTGCTTCCTACCCCTGGGGAGCCCTGCCTTGTGAGCAGGCACCAGATCCTTGAAGCCATGTTCATAATGAAGCTTTCAGTGACATTTTACTGATTCTCTGCTATCTGACCAACTCCGGGTAAACAATCTCTATCCCCCCCCCACCCCAGCTGGAGACCCATCCACTTCACAGAGGGAGAAACCAGAGCTCAGAGAGGTCTGAGAGCTTGCCGATGCTCACGCAAGCAACAGCGACCTCCACACACTTCCTGCTCTAACCACTGCACAGTCCGATGGCTGCCAAGCATGGCAAAGGTCTCCTCGCAGTGCTGTCCAGGGGCCGGCATCCCCCCTATCACCGAGGCACTTCTGAGTCTTATCTCCCCCCATGAGGTATGACACACAGCAGGGCCTCAAAGACTTTCTCAACAGACTGAAGTCAGAGTGGGGCAAGGGACCCTGGTCACCAGACTGGGAACCAAGTCTCTGAATTCAGCTCTGCGCTGGCCCCTGCCTGCTACCTTCTCTGAAGCTAAGTGACCCAGCCCAGAATGGCTCAAGGCCCTGAGCCACTCAGGTGGAGACAGTTTTTTAGAAAGAGACAGAGAAAGAATGTAGGGATGGCCACAGCACTGTGGGGAAACCCTGTCAGGACTTCGGGGGGGAGCAGAGGGAACTGCCACCATAATAATAGGGACCTGTGGTAGCAAGAGTGCCAGGCCTTCACATCAGCCATAGAGAGGCTGGTTGTGGGCCTTATGGCAGAAGTAGCAAGGGGCTGGACAGCTTCATAGCATTCCTGTTCTCTGAGGTCCTCAGGGTGGTGACAAAGGTGAAAAGAATGTACCCTCTGGAATGGGAAATCTCAGCAGAGGCGTCTCTGCCCTTCTGTGTCTGGGCTGATAGCCTTAGGCCAGCCGGGGCTCAGGAGACCTAGGTGTTGGCTGTTTTGACTAGGCCCCATTCAAACCCATGAGGAATGAATTCCTGTCCTCGTTTTGTACAGGACGGAATGGAGGCCCCCAGAGCTGAGACACCTTGAGCCCCTAGCGGTCAGGGGCAGAGTGTCCCTTCACCATGCATTATAACAACCACCATAAAGCGGGGTGACCCCAGGGTCCCCAGGGACTGTGTGGGTTTGTCCTAGCACCCTGAGTCACACTCAAATAGGGCCCCAAAGTGTCCTCTCAAGCCAAAGGGGCCAGTCATGCAAAGTGTTCCAGAAGAGGGGCTAGGGAGACCCACAGGCTTGTGACTCTTCAGGAAGCCCTCTCCCCCACAATACACACACACACACTCACACACTCAAACACACACTCAGGCTTCGTGATGATAGGGGAGCATAGCAAGCTGTCTTCAGAGGAGCCAGGTTGGGAGTTGTTTCCCAGGGAGGGTCCCTGGAATGGGGCTCTTCCTGCTTTAGTTCACAGTGGGCTAGCGACAAAGAAGGAGAGCACAGAGAGAGGGACAGGGAAGAAGAGAATAAGTGCGTGGTTGAGAGAGCGATGGGTGGGTGGGGGATTAACGGAATGAGTGACTGGGTGGGACAGGAAGGATATGGGTGTCTGTGGGTGTCCACATGCCAGTACCTGTGCCTCTGTCTGCCAAGAGTCTATAAGCGCCCTCATCCAGTACCTACTCTTTTATGTGGGGCTATGTGTGGACCTCTATGTCTGTCTGCTTGGTTATGTGTGTGTGTGCTCTTTTGTGCATGTATGTATGGGATAGATATACATTTGTATGTACGTATGTGTGTATTTGTGTGTGTGGTCTGAATGATATGTGGTATGTGGTATGTGCATATATGTGTGAAGGAGCATGTGTTCTTGGACACTGGTCTTTCCTGTGAATCATATCCGTGTGTGTGTCTCATGTTCAGTGAGTGGCCCTAGTCTGATCTGGGTGTACATCGCGGTCCAGGTGTCTGTGCCGAGGTCGCCCTGTGTCCGGCAGGGGGCGCTCCCGGCCACTTTAGTCCCCTGACCGACAGCCAGGGGTGTCCGCCCCGCCCCTCCCGGGCCCGCCCGGCTGCCCTGGGCTATAAGTTCGTGCCGCCCGCCTGGGCCGCAGCACCGCACTGGTGGTCCGCGCCTGAGTGTCCCGCCACGTCTGAGCTGTCGCCGCTAGCCTGGCCATGGCCGAGGGTGAGTGTCTGGGCCTCCGGGAGGTAGAGTCGGAGCAGGCAGGGCTGTCTCCAAGTCCCCAGAGGGGAGCAACAGGTGGGCCGGTGGGAGGGACCTTGCTGGCCCTAAGCTGTTGGCCTCAGTTTCCCCCACCCCAGGGCACAGCGGTGCCCCCGGTTGAGGTGAAAATGCTAGGAGAAGGCGTACTGGGAAGGCTGAGGTACTGTCACAGTTCCCCACCGTTTAGTTAGAGCTGCTGTGTGCCAGCTACAGAGAAGCCACGCAGGGATGCTGGCGGGCTCTTGGCTTTCCTCTGTGCCTGGAGAGGGGTGCAGCTCTCCTGGCTGATTTTGTGACCTCAAGCGGAAGGAACATTCTGGCATCTGGCGGCATACCGCTGAAGCCGGACCTGCCTGCTCTCTGAAGTCTCCTGAAGCCCTCATGGTCTCTAAGCTCAGACCTTGACCACCCGTCGAAGCTCAGTGTTGAAGCTCAGTGTTCCCTGCTGTAAGTTCGGGACAATCGTGCCAGCCTTGGTACAGCCACCAGGGCTGAGAAGAGTGCGAAGGGTCCGAGGTCCTGTTCGTTTCCTGCTTGCCTCCTTCATGTGGCATGGTCTCACATGTACATATGTACATGGGCAGCACGTGGGAACACACGGGTCAGGACTTGTACAATGGAGGATATTCCTAACACTGTGGACCAGACTCCTAGCTGACTGTTGGGTCAAGTCCATTCAGGGATGGTATCTGCCTGCACTGTGACCTCAAGGAAGGGACTTGGGCGGGGGGGATGAAGAAGGACCTGAAGCAAGTAGACAGGGAAACTCCAAAGGACCAGACCAGCTGTGTAGCCTTGATTGCTCTATTTTCTGAAACCTCAGCAGGCTGGGATATGTCATCTAAGGGACTGTTATCTCCAAGGCAGTTTCCCATCCCTATTTCCAAAAGCTGGGGGACCTGGGTCTACTTTCTTGGGTCCCCTCCAGCAGGGCCCCACTAGCCTAGAAAGCCATGAGTTCTGTGAGTCTGAACCCTGCCTGCTGTACCCTTTAGCCAGTGGGTAGGAAACTGCACCCTGTCTCTGCAACCCAGGGAATGGTCTCCAGCAGGCTTTCTAGAGAAATGGCCTCTTTCCAAGAGTGAGCATTTTGTGGCTCTCTTCTTCCTCAGTGGCAATGGCCATTGCCAGCCGTTACCGGGGCAACCTTCAGGTCCTGCTTCAAACCAGAGTGGGACCAGGGATCACAGGCGTTTCATCTGAGGTAGTTCTTGAGCCGCCCTCACTTCAGGGACATTTCCCCTCAATCTGGAATTCTTGCACAGAGGTGGCCCCGCACTTAGGCTGGATGATTTGGGCCAATCCCTGCCCTGGCCCTCAGCTGAACCATGTGCCCTTCACTGGCCGGACAACTCTGAGAGTATTGTGCCCACTCCCAACCCGAAGGACTCCAGTCCTGACTGTGAGCCTGCTCAGACCCCCAACCATCCCCCATCTGCCTGTCAACTTGTTCCTGCCCAGGCCCTCAGCTACTTCTGGAACTCAAAATAGAACTTCCACACCACACTCCTTTCTCCTGGGCTGGGTCCTCTCTTTACTTCATGGCACCGTTTGAGGTTTCGGAGGTAGGAACACTTGTCTGGGATCAGAAAGCAGCATAGCAGACTGAGAACATAGGTCCCAAACATACTCCCAAACTGTCATTTTAAAACCTTTCATCTGGGAGAACATTGGACATCCGTAAGGTAGAGAGGACAGTGGAATATATTCCTCAGCCCTCGCCCTCTCCCTCGCTAGCCAACCTTCCTCTGCCTCCCCGCCCCTCTGCTCTTCTTGGGAAGAAAATCTCTTCTCAGCTGTGAGCGTGTCAACACGTGCAGCAAAAAATAACGACCCTCCTCAGAGACAAGTCAGCGGAATTCCTTGAGGGCTGTCACCACTTCAACTTCCAGCTGGCTCATAGGAAATGTTTTAAAATCATCTTAAAATCAGTCTTAAGAAGAGCCACACATCACAACAGAAAGCACCACCCTGTTTCTCAATAGAGGGTCCCTTCAAGCTTTCAGGTTTGTTTGTTGTTGTTTTTCTTCTTGCAATTGATATGTTAAGGAAGCCAGGTCCTTTGCTGAAGGTCTGCGTTTTTTGCTGAGTCTGAATTTTGTTGGCTGTGCCCTGGTTCTGTTCTTTAGTCTGATCCTTAGTCTATGGTATTTCCTGTACATTGAGAGTTGGGTCTGAGCCATCAGGATGGTGCAGGCTGTCTTCAGGCAGGAGGAGAGGGGAGGTAGGGAAAGGGAAAGGGGAGGTAGGGAAAGGGAAGGGAAGAGAAGGGAAAAGGAGGGGAGGGAAGGGTAGGGGGGAAGTTATTTGGTTCTGGCAACAAATGCTGAGTAATTTCAAAATGAAAAACCAAATCAAAACCAAAGACCCCTTGAGGGCTGTGACATGCGGTGGGCTGTGTGGACTAGGTGTGTTTGTGGTAAAGTACTGTGCTGTGCTTCACACTCATCACTTCATTCCGTGCTTGCCATGGCTCCCATGAGGTGGGGCCTGGAAACTGAAGCCCAGGAAATTCGAATTGCTGGTGGTCACATGACTAGGACGTGTACGAGGCCTCTTGCTTGCAACCGTGTAATTAAAAAAAAAGCACTGGAGATTGCACACGCCGTCCGTTGTACACTTTCAAGCAACACTTTTTCAGACTAAAGGCGGGAAAAAAAAAAAAAAAAAGCACTAGAGATATTTAGCCTTGCCAGACCCCTGAGACCATGGGTAGCTGTGGGTTGAAAGAGTCAGGGCTCTGCCTGATAGAGATGAGAGAGTGTCACTGGGGTCTAGAGAAGGCCACCACCAGAGACCACAGCCCGCTGAGAGAGGCCACAGGGGCTCATGCCTGTCCCGTCTCTCTGTAGAGCTGATCTTGGAGAGGTGTGACTTCGAGATACAGGCCAATGGCCGTGACCACCACACGGCCGACCTGTGCCACCAGAAACTGGTGCTACGGCGCGGTCAGCGCTTCCGGATAACACTGTACTTCGAGGGCCGTGGCTACGAGGCCAGCGTGGACAGCCTTACATTTGGTGCCGTGACTGGTGCGTAACTTTGACCACCCCACCCCCCCCCCCCGCATGGCTTGCTCCTGGTGGGCCCAGGACAGACGAATTTCCACCTCTTTGCATGGCCTTCTCCATCCTGTGGGAATTACAACTGCTGTTAACCCCATTTCACAGATGAGAAACTGAGGCTCAGAATGGGAGCGGGAGAAACCACCTCAGGCTTCCCAAGCCTGTATGCTGGGTTGCTGCTTTCCACATCTTTCTCATACCAAATAACTTCCCTGTCTCTCTTCACCAGGGCTTCCTAGAACCCACCAGCTCTGGGTGGCGGGCGGGGAAAGAGCCTAGTCAACTAGAGGTGGGGTGGACTCCTGCACGGCTGTGTGACATTGAATAATTTGCTTAGCCTCTCTGAGCCTGAGTTTCATCAGCAATTCACACTGGAGGGTTCAGTACGAAGGCCCTGAAAATGTCCTGTAGATATTGGTGGCTGTTTGCTCGCATCACTCCAAAAGCTCCAGGGGTGAGCAAAGGGAGGTTGGACCCTGTCCACCCTGTTCCCAATCTCTCTGGTTGACTGTTCTAGGAAAGTGGCCTTGCATATCAAATCAGTTGTCTGGCTTCTGGAAAGAACCACTCCCTCAGGGTCAGCAAGGGGCCATCTGGCTGGGATTCTGTCCCAAGGGTGTGAAAGATCAGCTTTCTTTGGTCTTTGTGGGTAGAAAGAGTGGTAGGTAGGAGTTGCCGACCCAGCCCAGCTGAGGCCCTTTCTATCTGAGGGCCGTTGATAAGCTTATCTTGGGGCCTGCAGGCTGCCAGGATATCCTTTCCTCCTCCCTCCTCATCCACAGATGAAGCCCTACCCAGGTACACCCCTGCCTCAGCACCTGTAGGTCCCTTTCTATCCACCAAAGGGTCCTAGCCAGTGCCTGGCCCTCAGGCCTCTGGAGAGTGGAATGTTGGTGGTGCTTGGTTATTCAGGGCTGCATCGTGCTTGGAAAGATGACATCACAAAGCAGAGCAATCCACACGCCCACCCTCATGTCCCCAGGGTAGAAGCATAATGGGCTCCCATTTTGCAGACGGGAAGGCTGAGGTAAGGCTCAGAGGGTCAAGTCTCCCACTCAGTGGGTCACAGAGTAGTTAGAGGCACAGAAGGCCTCCGTTCCTGACCCAAGTGTGAGGCGAGGCTCTCTGTCACTTAATATCGAGTCCACTTGAGTGCCTGCCTGGCCTCAGGTTGCACCGAGGTGACATAGTGACAGGTGAGCTGTCAGCCTGATCAGCCTGTAAGCTCCCATGTCCTCTCTCCTCCCTGACAGCCTCTTCCTTCTTCTTCTTCTTCTTCTTCTTCTTCTTCTTCTTCTTCTTCTTCT